TAAACCTGCTTATGACTCGTAACACCTATGAACCTAGAGCTTGATACTAACTTTTCCCGACCCCAATTTTCCCCCTTAGGATGTCGTGATGGCACCTAAACTCTAAGACTAGGTAAGCCTAATATTTAATAATAACTTAACATAAATGATTAAAAAGAGATACTAAAGTAAAACAGTTAAACTCATATAAACTTCTAAAATAGGATCTCAACAACATATTTCCCAAAATCGGTGGAACTGGGTCATAAGCTCTACAAAATAACCTAGAATGTCTACTATAACACTGTCTGAATAAGAGAACAACAAAATGGAAAGATAATGGAAGGTGACTTCGAGGTTTACGGACGCCGAGCGGTATACCTTGAAGTCTCTAGAAGACAGCTAATAAGACAATAACTAATGTCCAACATGGGCAGCCCCTGAATCTGCACAAAAAGGATGTGCAGAAGCGTAGTATGGGTACAACACAATGGTGCCCAGTAAGTATCAAACCTAACCTCGGTAGAATAGTGACGAGGCCAGACCAAGACACCTACTAGGGTATAATAAACAGAACAAGAATATAATAACGCGAAGTAATGAAAAACGGAGGTACGAATGATAACAAAGCAGTTTGATAGCGTAACTAATGACAAAATTATAAGTAGAAAGACAACAAGAAGGAAGCAATTAATGAGAACCTAAAATAATCAAATACGGACAAAACGGGTAATACAAGGAAGAATAAAAGCAACTAGAACAGTTCAACCAATAACTCTTTTCAATATGAAGTAAACAACAAGAATCACAACCGAGGTACCGCCTCGCATTCACATTTCATAATTTCAATAACAATTTTTCCTTATATCACCGCGGGAGCCTTACATTTAATTTTGCAAATTATTTTTTTCAAAATAGCTACCCGCGTTTTAACCCACCTTATCACACCGCTTGGCTTTAAATAGTTCCCCTATTAGCAACACGCGTATCAAGACCACCTTATCTCACCGGATGCGTATCAACCCCAAGCGTTATACCACCGCATGCGTATCAATACCACAACATAATCACCACTCGCACCACAAGTGCCCATATGCCACAACTTGCTAAAAGAATCAACAATATCAGTGTTTCACAATAAATAGTCCATGGCTCAATCACAATGTGTACAAGAATCTCAACAATAACAAAATAAAAGTGAATAGCTCAACAAGAACGATATCTCCATAATTAACAACTTTGCCTCAATGTGATAATTGCTTTTACAACTTCAACACCAATAACTCAACAAGAAGATATTTCATGAAATAACAACTTCAAGTAAGTAATTCAACAATTAAAGAAACAACAAGACAATAAGAAAGCCAATAATTTCAACTAAAGCATATAAGAGCACATTAGCAAGTAAGAGGTGAAATAAGTGTTAACAATGTCAAATAAAGCATGTAAGGGTAGACTAATACATGTAAGGGTAGACTAACAAATGCAAGGCTATATTAACAACGAAAGATATAGCATGTCATGACAATTCAATTAAAGCCATGAAAAGAGTCTAAATAGCCTAAACCGGTCAAATACCAAATATAGCCTGTATACCCACTCATCACCTTGCGTACACAGCTTTCACATATCACAATTAACACAAACAAACCAATTCCTAAGGGGTAGTTCCCCTCCCCCACAAAGTTAGGCAAGATACTTAACTCAACTAGGCCAACTCAATCCTCGAAAATAGCTTTTCTCCTAGAATCCGCCTCCCCACGGCTCAAATTTGACCAAAAGTGACTTAATATCATAAACCAATGCAAGGGAAAACAATTACAATAGATAAAGCTTTGATCTTTAAAACATTCCCAAAAAAGTCAACAAAAATCAACCCCGCCCGGTCAAAACCCGGGTCCAAGGGTAGATTCTGACTATCCATAACCCCACGAGTCCATATATGTGATTAGTTTTCAAATCCGAGTCCAAATCAACTCTCAAAGCTCAATTCTCATTTTCCAAAACTTAGACATAATTTTCATAAATTTTTACTTTGATTCACATGAATTTGATGTTAAATCTAAGATATATTAATAAAATATAGTTGAAAATTGATTAGAATCACTTACCCAATGTTTTAGATGAAAAGCCCCTTTCAAAATCGCCTCCTACCGAGTCTAGGGTTCTAAAAATGTGAGAAATGAGACTAAATCCTGACTTTCCAGCGCTTATGTCTAGCTGTAGATGACGCATTTGCGACACAGGGTTCGCATTTGCGAATCCTCGCAATTGCGAATTAGGGATCGCATTTGCGAACCCTGACAGCCTCAAATTCCCAACCCGATAGCCAAAAGTAAACCTACGGTCAAACTTCTAAATCTCAAATTGCCAATTTTCGGCAAAACAATACAAAATAACCTATGGACTTTTGAATTCGATTTCGGGCATATGCCAAAGTCCAAAATCACGATATGAAGCTATCAGAGCCATCAAAACACCAATCCTGGGTCATTTTCACAAAATTTAACCATTGGTTAACATAAACAACCTAGGCCTCTAAGCCAAGAATCAAAGAGTCTAAATCAATCTGAAACTTTTCCGGTACGAAACTAATCGATCCCGTAAATCATAAAACCTAAATTACATATGCGTGAAGCATAAAAAGGGGAAACGGGGCACAATTATACAAAAAGATCGATCGGGCAGTTATAATAACAGATTTAAAAACAAAAAACGAGGGTTAGAGTTATTATTTCATATTTTGAGTTGTAGAGCTCAGTATTGGGCGATTTTAGAGGGGGTTTTCACACCTTGGATCCGGGCAAGTATTTTTGACTCGGATATATTAGTATTTCATGATTCCATCTTCGTGTTTAGCATCTAATGAGAGAATTAAAGTGAAAAAAATGAGGAATTTTGTGGAAACTTTTCAAAAATGAAAAATGGAGGGTTGAAGTTTGATTTGAAGTCGGAATTGGATGATTTTGGTATGGTTGGACTCGTAATTGAACGGGTGTTCGAATTTTGTGAATTTTGTCAAGTTCCGAGATGCGTGCCCCGGGTTGACTTTTGATTTTGGTTAAAGATCTTAGCTTTATCGGATGGAATCGATTCCTATAGCTTGTATTGATTATATTAAGTTGTTTGTGACTAGATTCGAGTCGTTCAAAGGCCGATTCGCGAGGCAAGGGTTTGTTGAAGTAGTGAGTTGCATGCGTTGAGGTAAGTAACACTTCTAAACTTGGATTGAGGGTATATATCCCTCAAATTCGTGTTATTTGGATTGTGTTGGGGTGACGCACATGCTAGGTGAAGGGCGTGTGAGCGTGCACCGTGATAATCATAATCCAAGTAGATTCTTACACTGTGTTGATATCAAGTCTTGTTTTATCCATTTAATTCCTACATGTTAGAGTAATTGAGTTGTGATTCATGTTAGAAATCATGTTTAGGCTATATGCTTATTTGATTGAGACCTACTGAGGTTATTTATGATGTTTTGAGATATCTGTTTTAACTGTAATTATATACTCAGTCATAATTCTTCATTTGCATATCATTTCTCAGTCTCTGTTATTATTCACTGTTACATCACATGTTATCATTGTTTGGGCTGAGCGGTACGAGATTTGTGAGCCCTAGAGACTTAAGAGATTGATGACTGAGGTAGACCGGAGAGCTGAGTTGTGAGTGTTATTGTGGATCGAGTTGCACGTTGCAGCATACCTTATTGGCTTATTTATTATTGTGGATCGGGTTGCACGCCGCAATAGACTTTATAGGCTTTATATTAGCGCTTGGGCAGGACCCGTCCCTCTGGAGTCTGACATACCAACAGTGAGAGCAGGTACATTGATATATACACGTGCTTTGGTGAGGGGCATTGATGCCAGGTACCCGTACAATGTTAAGTGATTGTGTGTGTGATGAGTGGGCAATTGAGATAGACAGATTGAGTACTCTGAGAGTGTGAGTACCTGGGAATATCATTGTGATACCATACATTTGACGTGCATAATTTACATGTAGGCATAGAGATGTACCATTCCTCATGATACTTAACATGTTCTTATTAGTGTTGGCCTTTAATTATGAACTTGAAAGCATGTCTAAATTTCTGTATCATGAACGAGGTGAATATGGAAGTTTTCTTTGAGTTATTTACTATTATTGTTATTATCTTACCTGTATTGTCATTATATTGGTTCTGACTTTATTCTTGTGAGCTCGTCACTACTTTCACCCCAAGGTTAGTTCTGTTACTTATTCAGTACACGGAGTTGGTTGTACTCATACTACACTCTACACTTCATGTGCATATTCAGGTACATCTGGACGCGGTGATTTCTAGATCTGTACTGGTAACTGCTTGGAGACTTCATGGTAGTTGCTATGACGTCCGAGACCTTGACTCTCTTTCCTTTTATTTCTTCAATACTGTTCTATTATTCAGATAGTTGTATTAGAGTTTTGGTTTATGTCGATATTTAGTAGTGCTCATGTACTCGTTGACACCAGGTTTTGGAATGGTTATAGTAGAGTTTCAGTTACTTTTATCTGATATTTATGAAATTTTCTGCGGTTGAATTTATTAATACATGTTTCATTCAAATGTTTAGCTGTTATGTAATTGTCGGCTTGCCTAGCAAGTATATTAGGCGCCATCACGACAAGTTGGGATTTTGTGTTGCATAAATATTAATATTATATTTTGTAAGATAAATACAGTATAAACAAAAAAAAGATGAAAAAATAAAAAAAAGAAAGAAGAAAGGCCTTCTATTAAAATTTGACTTTATGCCACGAATTTTATTAAGACGTCCTTGGGCTTATTATGCTAAAGGGACCACCATTATTTCTTACTGTTTAGTCAATAGTTCTTACGTAATTGTGTACAGTTGCTTTTGACAAATTAACCATAATCTATCGTGCCATTCCTGTGATGCAACTTAGTTTTGTTTTGCATGTTTGTTGAGTAAATTTGCATATACAGATGAAATAGACTATATATAAAACTCTATATCGAGCTTGGGCCCGTGGTGGCATGGTTTACACTATCTAGTAAAAGAATACGTAAAAGTAAATACATTTCTAGTGAATGCACGACCAATTCTAACCCATTCACCCTAAACCTTGCATTCTAAAATAGTATCCTGAAACCCTAAACCCCTCCGCAACATACACAGATCTTTTCCGCAAGAGGCTTTCTTGCCGCCGGAAGTAATCGAGAATATACTTGTGGAGCTGCTAGTGAACTCACTACTGAGATTCAGAAGCGTTGCCAAGCTATGGGAGGCCACTATCAATAGCCCGAAATACATCTAAGTGAAACCCAACGTTGATGTCAAACTTATTATGAAAGCGGTCTCTCCTTGTTCTGCATTGATTTTGAACAGAAACCCAACCCAACAGGAGCAATTTGACCACCCACTGAAGCAGTCGCAACAACCATCAATGCCGGTGAATTCTTGCAATGGTTTGGTTTTGATGAAATTTGATAATTTATATGCCCTGTTATAATCCATCCACTAAGGGGTTCTGTAGATTGTCGGTTTGTAGCATTTGGGTAGGGGTAGAAAATTTAATCCTGCTAATTTAGGGTATGATAGCTCTACAGAGGATTATTAAGTGGTTCAAATTATCAAAGGCTTGGGCCTGTGTGGGCGACAATGGTTTATAGTCTGAAGCTGGATTCATGGAAGAAACTTGAGGATTGTCTATACAGTTTCAGTGATTCTGGATTATTTTTTAGAGGTGTATTGTATTGTATTGTATTGGAGGTACGAGTTTTTTTGGCAGGAGGACTTTTGTAGGTTTTAATCTTGCAACTGAGAGATTCGATCAGTTGACATTTTCTATTGGTGGTTCATCTTCATCAAAAAGGAAAAAGAAAAAGAAAAAGAAAAAGAAGAAGAATCATGAGCCTTTTGGTGATCCATTGGTTGTGAGTTTGGCTGTGTTGGGAGAATGTCTTTCTTTGATTTGTTCATATGCTAGGAGATATGGCCATAACCACTTAGCGCATGTCGTGATATGGACGATGAAGGACTATGGAAGCAAATAGTCTTGGGTGAAATCATTTCATTTGGATATTGGAGGTTGAGGGTGCAGTGTTGTGAAGCCAAATACATATTTATCGAGTGTCAAGGAAGTCCTTCTGCATATCAACATGTTTAGCAATGAGAATTCTTGCTACCTCCATAAGCTCATGTGGTGTAATTTGGAAAATTCCTCACACGAACGTCTCGAGATTACTGGTGAGATTTTTAGCCGTTTTAAATTCTTTGTCTGTTTGCGAACCCTTGTTCCCGTATATGGAGGTGGAGGTGGTAATGGAGATGACGACGCTGGGGCCAACTCAGGATAGATTGAAGGTAAGTTAAACGAGCATTTTTTTTTTTGAAATGGTAACAAATTTCATTGATATATAAATAAAGTCTCAGTGCCTAGATAGTGTTGAGAAAAAAGGTCCCTAGTTATATTTTTATTTTTATACAGGGGTACATCATTATATTTTAACAAAGTGGGACTTATGAACAATAATCACATGTTTTCTTTAATATGTCACAACTGTATTTGAATTAGTGTTGTATATCAAAGTCTGATGTCTAAAATTTTGCAGTCGAGATTGTCTTATCTTAGTTGGCATCTTGTTCTAGTTGTCGAATCTGGCCTTATCGATTTACAAGTAGTACCATATTTTGATTGTCAATTGATAAATGGATTAAACTGAAGGTACGATGATTGGTTGATTGGTGGATAATTAAAATATTAGTTTATAATATTTTCGAAGCATGGTTAATGATTTATTGGTCTCTGATAAGGATACTCGCTATTCTTGCCGTGTTGGAAGTATAAGCAACACTTTCACACGCTTCTCTTTTGCTAGTCATGCTCCACTTCATGATCTCACCTCTTCCCATTTATTTAGGGTAATGACAACGCTATCGTAATCTTGCTCATTCTCTTTTCTCTTGCAAAGTTGATTCTACAGTTATCCTGAAATCATGGGAGTTGCAACAGAAGTCCTTCAATTACTTTATGTTATGCTTTGTTTTCAAATTAACTTCTTAAGATTAAATATCTTGTGAAAAATATATAGTCGAAAGATTATTTAGGAAAATCTGAGAAAGTAATGAGGGGAGATTAGAGCTGTCACTTGGGATAACCAAGCGAGTAAAAAGAGTCCCTTGTGGATGAGGGAGTGCATGGTTTGAAATGCTTTCTATTACAAACAATGCTATTGATCAGGCTTGTTGTCATGTACAATTAATGCCCATTCTCCTCCCTTTCTCCAAACCAAACTCCAAATTCCTCTTTTACGAAAATTGCAGTTTACCTGTTTATGCTTATCTCTTAATACCGTTGATCACGATAAAAATTGTCCTTGTAGGATTACTGTTAAGTGAAAGAAGGGAGGACGAATAGAGAAGCTTGTTCATTCTTGTTCTAGCTATTTTATACATGTATATCTATAAAGAGAGACTTATAAATAGTGCAGTATCTGAATTTTTACTTTTGCTTCTGCAAAACAAATAGTGATTCTGGTTGGAATATCCTTTCATGTAAGTGCTTTTATGCTATTTGTTATATAACTCTGCAAACAACCAGATGAAGTTGGGGATGAAAAAACTAGTAAGCTTTATGAATCTCACGTTTTGCATGGCCAATATTTTGCCTTCTGTTTTTAGTGTCACGAGTTCATGATTCTTTTCAGAAATTTTAGGGGTGGGGATGTTTCATTCAAGTTGGAGATTATGTTAAATATTGCTTAAGAAAACTCAAACTAGGATTAACTTATGCCTCTAGAGTAGTACTAACAGCCTCGTTCACCTAAAATTGACCATCAGTTGGGCCTCCTCTAGCTGCTGCATATCACAAGCAGCAACACGCTCAGATTTTCCAATCACTTGAGGCATTGTACTGGAATTTTTTTTTTTTGCTTTCACCAGAAAAAGCAGTTTCTTTTAATTTACTTGGTTTTATCCAGTTGGAGAAATATTCACTTGTTCACACTTGCATTCAGCTGTAGGATCAAATAATTAATCATGTCCATTGCTGAACTGATGCTGCTGACTCAAACTTAGATTCGAGTGTAGCCTTGTAATTTTGAATATAATGTTGAGGTAATAGGTATTTCTGGTGTGGTCTATAATATGCTTTGACGTCTAGGATTAGAGGATCTAAATCAACAAGTTGCATATTGCTTGTTTCGTTTGAACCCAAACTGTTGTGACACACCTTGTCCTACTCACTTCCTTAACCTTAATTTCCCTTATATTTCTAATTGACAAGGTTCCTGAATTCACTCCTATGATATTCTATCTGTTGTTAACATCCGAAACAGGTCTATTTTCTTTTGGTTCAGGAGACATTTGAGATTGCAGGCATCACTAGAATTTAGAAATGCGACTATGAGCCTTGCAAAATTTAGGTATATGCCGTTTGGGAACCATTGTTTATATTTAGGTATATGGTTTTTATGTTATGTGAGCGCCTAATTTTTTATTATAATTGAATTTTTTCCCACTCATCTCATCAATACATCACTTCTCACTCCATTTTTCTCGCTCTCATCTTCCCATGCGTGTCCCATTCTACTTTCCTTCGCTCCCCACTTTCCCTTGTCCCTCACTCCTTGTCCCCATGCTTGTCCCCCACTCACAACCCATATTCTACTCACTCACGTTTTCACCATGGGAACCAGCTGGAAACTCCAACTCAAAAACGCAACAAAACAACCTCAAAATACCCTGTAAAACACCAAAAAAAGTCCATCCAAGAGGGCAGCAAAATTAGGTGCGAAAATAGTCCAAAAAGCAACAAAATGCAGCAACAAATCACCAAGAAACGCTGCCAGTTTCCGCCCTTCAAACATCAATGAAACCCCAGCTGAAACCACCAAAAATTCAGCCATGAAAACCAACAAAACAATACCCCTTTATAGCTAAAAATCACTCAAAACAGAGCTCAAAATGCTGCCAACTCCCCCATTAAAGCAGCTTCAAAATCCAGCTAAGAAAATGTGATCGAAAGCTTCACAAAAGAACAGCATGAACACTGCCTAAAATCAGTCGGAAACAACCTTAAAATGACCTCAAAACAAACCCCAATAACCAGTAAAATTTTAGCCGCAAGAGGCTCAATCTTTGGTTTGCTTCGCCGTCGAGCTTCGGACTGTGGTTCTGTCCGCATTCAAGTTTGGCCAACGTTCTTTCTCACTAATTCCATACTTGGAGATTTCTTGAATGAAAAGTGAAGTTTGCATCTATAAAAGGTCCTTTTCTTTTATATATTTTCTGCATTTCCTCTTTAAAGTTTGTTTATTTAAGCCATTAAATGTGTGTTGCTTTAATTTTCCCGATTTACCTATTTTTGTCATATTGTGACATTTTAATATTGTCAACATTTAGTGTAGATCTGAAGGTTAATTGATAATTGTTTTGAGTAGTTGATTCGTTGGGGTTGAATTAAGGTAGTTAGGACTTGATTTTATTGATTTCATTCGAATGGGCCATATGGTGTATCTTTGATATAATGGGCCGAATAGTTTAGGTAGAAGTAGATATAGGTTTAAACATGGAATTTTTACCTCCTATAGCAAAGGTTAACACCTTATTTATTTTAAATAAATATCATTTAAAAAAATTATATTCTATAACTACCTTTTAATGTTTATAGCAAAATATCTATTTATGGTTACCTCCTACCCTTAAGCCATTATATACGCTATTTATTATTTTTCTATCTCCTTTTTCAGATTTTTCTCTCACATAATTACCGTATTTGATGTAAACTTCTCTCTCCACGTTCTCTCTCTCTAATTTCATACACGCCATTCTCTTCCCCCATTCCCAGAAACCACGATTTTGCAACTGAAAATCTTTCTCACCCACATCGCCTAGCGCTTCCCCATTCTCAGTCACCACACTAATTTCATACACGCCATCTGCATTGTCTCTCTCAACTTTCATTATTTTTTGCTACAAATAGTTGTGGCAAATATTTAACTTGTTAGAATTCGCTTGTAGTTTGTTTATTCTGTTTATCTCTACTAATTTTTTATAAACAATAACCATTGTTATTGTATTCAACAGAAAATTTGAGATTTTCTCTCCAATGGCTGATTCAACATCCCAGAAAAGGGTTACCAGAGGTATACCCACCAAAGTACTCAATTTCGATGGGCCCTCTTTCTCTTTGCAAATCACTCAAGTGGAATTGGAATTTGCAGGTTCAACAGCAAATACAGCTGCAGAGAGGAGAATAAAAATACGCAATGACACATTGAAAGAAGCCCAAGTTGAGAAATCTTCGAAAGAATCAACACTTCCCGTTGCGGAAAAGAGAAAAAAACCTATGGATGATGCTTCAGGTGTCAAGGGAAAGGAGGTCGATGCAAGAAATAGCTCGGATACACGGGACGAAAAGGTAATTGTTGATGTATCAATATGTATTTGAGTCCTCATACATTGAGTATTACCTTCTCCAATGGATTTCTATTATTGTATGTTATTGTATTTATATGTGTACAATAGTGGATACATAACTTCCTCTTCTTATTTGTTAATTTGATTTATATGTATGTTGATGTATTCATAAGTATTCAAAATTGCCTTCACTGTATTTATACTTGTTACACTGACTTTTGCATATCGTATTTAAATGTATTCATAAGTATTCAAAAATTCCATCACTGATTTGTACTTATTACAATGACTTTTGCATGTGTGTATGTAGATGTATTCATAAGTATTCAAAAATTCCATCACTGATTTGTACTTATTACAATGACTTTTGCATGTGTGTATGTAGATGTATTTATATATATACAAAATTTGGCTTCACTGATTTGTGCTTATTTATTCTCGTGTCTTTTGCATATTATATTTAGATGTGTTTAGATGTATTCAAAAGTTCATTCACTGTATTTGTACTTATTATAGTGACCTTTGCATATTGTATGTAGATGTATTCATAAGTATTTCAATGGTGCCTTCACTGTTTTTGTACTCATTACAATGACTTTTGATTGTTGTATGTGGATGTATTTATATGTATACATCTATTTCCATCACTGATTTCTTACTCATATTACTGTCACGACCCAAAATCCTAACCTATCGTGATGACGCCTATGTCGATACTAGGCAAGCCGATAATCTCGATAAACCACTATTTTTCTTAAGTTTGAATATACAATAATTTAATAAAATATAAAATCCCATAAATACTTACACGAACACTCCCCAAAATCTGGTGTCACTAAGTACATGAGCATCTAATATCGATACAAATCTGGAACATAAAGTCTATAATAGTCTAAGACCAAAATACAGTAAATATGGAGATAGGAAAAGAGAGACAAGGTCTGCGAAACACGCCAGCTACCTCTGAATCTCCTGAAAATCAATTTCGCGAAATGATCAACACCCGCTATGTCCGGGAATACTTGGATCTGCACACAAAGTGTAGGGTGTAGTAAAAGTACAACCAACTCAGCAAATAACAATAATAACTAAGAAACTGAAGATAATGACGAACTACACAGTTATAGTTCACTTTCAGTAATTCCAGGAAAGAATATATATGCTTTCATATCCGGTAGTTTAAGTCAAATCAATTTTTATACAGTTCAATTTCATGTAATTCAGATATAAAATCTTTTAGAGATTTCACAATAATGATAGATAGCAACCAAGTGCAACAACAAATGCAAAGCAAGTACAACCTCTCAAGCAACAGTCACTCAGCTCATCCACTCGGCTCAGCCCTCAGCACTCACACTCAATGGGTACCCGCGCTCACTGGGGGTGTACAGACTCCGGGGGGCTCCTACAGCCCAAGCGTCATAATCCGCACGGACAACTCACGTGCTGCACGGATAACTCACGTGCTGCACGGACAACTCACGTGCTATAATATTCTGCACAGACAACTGACGTGCCATAATATCCTTACCTCACCGACAGGCCCTCGACCTTACTCAGTCCTCAAACTCTCTAGTCTCTCGGGCTCTCAGGAAGTCTCTCGGGCTCTCAGAAATCACAAAGATCAGCCCAAATAAAGATAACATAATGCATCAACAAATATCAAGAAAGACTGAGGTATGATACGCAAGTAAAATCATGACTGAGCACAAGATAGCAATTAGCAAATAATTCAATAAGTACGTGACCTCTGTAGGTCCCAACAGTACTATCACATAGCCTAAGCATGATTTCTAACATGATTTACAGTCAAACTTCTTCAACACATAGAGAGCATATAGCTAACAACAAGTTATTCAACTTTATAATTTCACGGGACAGATCAAGTCACAATCCCCTCGGTGCACGCCCACACGCCCGTCACCTAGCATGTGCGTCACCTCCAAAATAATCACATGATACAAAATCTGGGGTTTCATACCATCAGGACCAGACTTATAACTGTTACTTACCTCAGAGCGTGAAATTCTTCACTCTGCTATGCCTTTGCCTCGCAAATCGGCCTATGAATGCTTCGAATTTAGTCACAAATAATTCGTTTCAGTCAATAAAATTTATTGGAATTAATTCCATATGAAAAATATAATTTTCCATAAAAATCAGAATTTTAGCTCAAAAATCGCCCGTGGGCCCACATCTCGGAACCCAACAAAAGTTACAAAATTCGAAAGCCCATTCAATCATGAGTCTACCCATACTAGTTTTACCAAATTCCGACCTCAACTCGACCATCAAATCTACAAATCTTATTTCCAAATTGCTAAGTTCAAATCTCCGATTTACACCTAAAAAATATGTAATTTATTCGGATTATTCGATGATAATTCAATATTATGGAGTATAAATGATCACAAGGGACTTACCTCAAGTGTTTCCTTGAAAATCTATCAAAAATCGCCTCTTCTCGAGCTCCAATTTGCCAAAAATGGCGAATGGGACGAAGTCCCTATTTTTATAATTCTGCCCAGACAGCCTCGGTTCTGCCTCGATCTTGGCCTTTGATCGAGGTGCTCGATCCTGGGCCTCGATCATGGCCCTCGACCCTGGCCTTTGATCATGGCCCTCGACCCTGGGCTCGATCGTGGCTTCGATCCTGATCCTCAACCCTGCCTTCGATCGTGGTCTTCGACCCCCTGGTCTTCGATCATGCCTTCGCATTCACGTCCTCCCCTTCGCGTCGCGAAGAACCAAACCTCACACTCAGAAAATACTCTTCGCGAATGCGAGGGCCCACTCGCGAACGCGAAAGAGAAAATCAGAAAAATGCAGCAGCAGATATCAGCAA